TTCTGGAATTCCTATTCTTCGCAATGTTATCCATAATTTATTATGATCCACACAGTCAAATGCCTTTGCATAGTCAATACAACACAGGTAAACATGTTTCTGGTATTCTCTGCTTTCAGCCAATATCCATCCGACATCAGCAATGATACCCCTGGTTCCATGACCTCTTCTGAATCCAGCTTGAATTTCTGGCAGTTCCCTGTGGATGTACTGCTGCAACCATTTTTGAATGATCTTCAGCAAAATTTTACTTGCGTGTGATAGTAATGATATCGTTCGAGAATTTCCGCATTCGGTTGGATCCCCTTTCTTGGGAACAGGCATAAATATGGATCTCTTCCACTCGGTTGGCCAGGTAGCTGTCTTCCAAATTTATTGGCATGGACGAGTAAGCACCTCCAGGGCTGCATCCGTTTGTTGAAACATCTCAGTTGATATTCCGTCAATTCCTGGAGCCTTGTTTTTCTGCCAATGCCTTCAGTGCAGCTTGGACTTCTTCCTTAAGTACCATTGATTCTTGATCATATGCTACCTCCTGAAATGGCTGAATGTCGACCAATTCTTTTTGGTATAGAGACTCTGTGTATTCGTTCCATCTTCTTTTGATGCTTCCTGCGTCATTCAATATTTTGCCCATAGAATCCTTCACTATTGCAAATTGAGGCTAGAATTTTTTCTTCAGTTCTTTCTGCTTTAAAAATGCCAAGCGTGTTCTCTTTGGGTTTTCTAACTGCAGGGCTACGCATATTTTATTATAATACTTTTGTCTTCTCGAGCGGCCCTTTGAAATCTTCTGTGCAACTGTTTTACTTCATTTCTTCCTTTCGCTTTGGCTACTCGACATTCAAGAGCAAGTTTCAGAGTCTCTTCTGACATCCACTTTGGTCTTTTCTTTCTTTCCTGTCTTTTTAATGAACTTTTGCTTTTTTTCATGTATGATGTCCTTGATGTCATCCTACAACTTGTGTTCAGTCATTAGTGTTCAATGTGTCAAATCTGTTCGAGATGGTTTCCAAATTCAGGTGGGATATACTCAAGTTCATACTTTGGCTCCTGTGAACTTGTCTGAATTTTCTTCAGCTTCCACCTGAACTCGCAATGAACAACTGATGATCTGTTCCACAGTCGGCCCCTGGCCTTGTTCCGACTGATGGTACTGAGCTTCGCCATCGTCTCTTGCCACAAGCATAGTCGATTTGATTCCTGTGCGTTCCATCTGGCGAGGTCCGTGGGTATATTTGCCGTCTGTTGTTGAATAAAGGTATTTCCAGTGAGTAGGTCATTGTTCTTGCAGAATTCTATCATGCAATCTCTGGCCTCCTTTCTATCACCAAGGCCATATCTTCCTACTACTGATCCTTCTTTGTTTCCAATTTTTGCATGCCAGTCACCAGTAATTATCAGTGCATTTCACTGCATGTTTGATCAATTTCAGACTGCACAAGTTGGTAAAAATCTGCGACTTCTTCCTCTTTGTCATTAGTGGCTGGTGCGTAAATTTGAACAGTAGTCCTATGTCTTCCTTGCAGCTGGGTGGATATTATCCTATCACTGACTGCGCCGTACTTCAGCATAAATCTTGAAATGTTCTTTTTGACGATGAACGCGATGCCATTTTCCTCCTCTTCAATCTGTCATTCCCGGCATAGTAGACCATATTCTGATTCAGAATGACCAATACCTGTCCATTTCAGCTCACTAATGCCTAGGATATCGATCTTTAGGCATTCCATTCCATTTTGGATGACTTCACATCTTCCTAGGTTTATACTTTATACATTCCACGTTTGGATTATTAATGGATGTTTGCAACTGTTTCTTTTCGAGTCTTGCCACATCAGCAAACGAAGGTCCCAAAAGCTTGACTCCACCCACATTGTCAAGGTCAACTCTACTTTGAAGAGGCAGCTCTTCCCCAGCCATATTTTGAGTGCCTTCCAACCTGAGACGCTCATCTGCTGGCACTGTATCAGACAATATTCTACTGCTACTCGTAAGGTTTTCCTTGGCTGATTTTTTCTGAAGTAGACCGCCAGGTTCTTCTTCCTAGTCAGTCTTAGTCTGGAAGCTCCGCTGAAACCTGTCGACCAAGGGTGACTCTGCTGGTATTTGAAATACTGGTGGCATAGCTTCCAGCATCACAGCAACACGCAAGCCCCCACAGTATGACAAACTGACAGAAGAGTGATGGAAGCAGTAAGTATAACAATGTCTTAGTGGGTTTGTAACTGTATAGATATAATATGTGTAATTATGATAGCACAAAAGGGAGGGGGAGGGGATAGCTACACAGGAGTAACGTTCCTATATTAGGTTAGGAAAAAGGTCATCCATATAACTAGGAATTCAGTACAGATCTGAAGCTGATTCTGATCAGCCCCCTGCAGCTGTTCAATGGACACAAGGACCAAGGAGTCCCTGCCCTGGCTTAGGTCGGCCCCGTTTCTGTCTGCTTGTTAAAACCTCGAGTTGTGCCATGTGCCCGTCTCCCCTCTGTGGAATCGCTATTTCAAACTCTTGCTTCTTGGGGCACGCTCTTGGGTGGCCTTGGGGCTAAGGAAATGGACCCAAACCACATAGGCACGAGAGACAGAGATATGGGGGCTGGGGAGCCGACCGAGGGACTTTGCCATCCAGCGGAGCTGGGACTCAGGACAGAAGGCGCTGTGGTGGCATCCGTCGCTGGTGATGAATTCTGGTCCGACCCAGTGCTCCTCCCTGGAACCCAGCCTACGTCCTTTATCCCTCCTGGCTCCCACCCACACAGCCTTGCTCAGCCTTGGATCCACCAACGGGCGATGAGAGGTGAGCCCTCAGCCAGCATCTGCACAAGGACAAGGGGTGCTGCTTCCCCAGCTGAGGGTGGCCTGGGCCCAGGGGCACCGAGTGCCAGCTAGCTTCAGGCCCATCCCAAGCCTGGCACCAGGGCCCCTCTGGCCTTGAGCTGCAGACCGCGCCCTCTCCCCAAGGCCCTGCCTCGGGGTGCCCTGCGACGCTCATGACCACTGAGGCGAATGGCCTGGTTTACAGCTAAGTCAGGATGCCTGCTGGGGCCACAGGCCAGGGA